TCCTCACCTATCAGTAATGAAGTTGAATGGAATAAATTCTCCAGTCAAAAGATGTAGAGTGGCTGACTGGGTTTATAATCCCAACTACACTGTATCTGGGAGAGACTCACCTCTCCTACAAGGACACAGACTGAAAGCAGTGTGGGGTCTGGGGATGTAGCTCAGCAGCTCAAGCACTCATCTGGTAAGCGTGAGGTTGTGAGTTCAATACCCAGAATGAGCCGGGCATTGTGGCTCACACCTGTAATCCCAGCACTCAGGAGACTGAGGCAGGAGGATCATTGCGAGTTCGAGACCAGCCTGGGCTACAAAGTGAGCTTAAGGCCAGCTTGAACAGCATAAAGAGACCCTGTCTCAAAAAGACAAAAAAAAAAGTACGACCAGTCCCTGAACCAACTACCCAGAGTGAAAGAGTCCTTCTGTACTGCAAGCACATACTAATAAAAATTTTTTAAGAAGAAAAAGTTATTCCGAAACAGCAGAGTAGTTATACTTCCATAAGATAGATTTGAAGTCCAAAACTGTAAAAAAAACACAAAGAGGGTCATTGCCTTGTGACAAAGCAATTGATTTAACAAAAGATTTAACATAGGCTTGCACCAAAGGTCAGAACACCTAGATAGAGAAGCTGAGCATTACTATGTATGCAGGAAGAGGAAGCTGTGATACAATCACAGTTTCTCTTTCAGCAATGGATTGGTTATCCAGGCAGAAGACTAAGAACTCAAAGCATATCTGTGTGTGTTCTACACAGCCCTGCAAAACACACATCCTTCTCGTTGCAGCAGGAGCATTCTCCAGAATAGATCACTTATTAGGCCACCAAACCAGCCTTCTCACATGTGAGACATCTGGAGTCACAGGAAGCACCTTTTCTGACCACAGTGGTATACAACTAGAAATCAGAGGAGAAACTTTGGAAAATTTACAAATACATGAAAAATAAAACTACTGGCTTCTAAAAAACCAGTAAGTCAGTGAAGAAATTAAAAAGACAATAACAGCCGGCCGTAATAGCACACACCTGTCATGCCCAGCACTGGAGAGGCTGAGGCAGGAGGATGACTGTGAGTTCGAGTCCACATGGGACACACAGTGAGTGCAAGGCCAGACTGAGCAGCACAGGGAGAAAATGAATGAATGAATGAATATTTTTAAAGGAAACTGGTAAAGCTAGAACAAACTAAGCTCAAAATTAGGAAGCAATAAAGATCAGACTAAAAAAGACCAGAAAAACAATTTTTTTTAAAAAGATCAGCAAAACGAACAGCTGCCTTTTTAAAAAGACAAAGAATAAACAGATGATCACAGACACGCATCCTCTCAGGACACAAGTCAAGGCGGAATCTCCGTTCTCCCAAGCAGCTGAGTCTGGTGGCCATCAGGACACCTAAATGCTGGATTCGCCTGGGGGATCTTGAACGACTTTTTCTGCCCTAAACATCTTTCCTCACCTCCTCCCCACCAGCGACACTGAGAATCACAAACCCAGCTGATGGAGGTCAAGGTTGCAGAAAACTAAGCACACAGGAAAGAGTAAGAGGAATCAGTAGTTCAAGTTGTTCATGCAGCCAATTAGGCTTGGGGGTTCTTGTTTGTTTTGTTTTGTGTTTTTTGAGACAGGGTCTCGCTATGCAGTTCAAGCTGGCCTTAAACTCAGTATGCAGCCAAGATTGGCCTCAAATCACAACGACCCTCCTGCCTCAGCCTCCCAAGTGCCTGTATGACAGGCCTGTACCATCACTATACCCGCTGTATGTTGGTTTTTATTCACCCAGTGTATATTTATTGCTCAACTGCAATATATCAGGCACTACAAACAGATTGTTCACACATCCAATGTTACTTAACTGTTCTGATTTTATGCCTTTGTTTGAAAAATTGTGATAGGAAATTCTGGAATACACAGAGGAATCAGAGCCCCCAATCCTGTTTGCAACTCTACAGCGATCTATCATGTTCACTAATATACCACACTTTCTGCATTTGATTTTCCTATGAATGTAAAAACAAACTGAAAAAATAAAATAAAATAAAAACAAGCTAAATTTTTAAATACTAATAATCCGCCTGATTTAAAAAAAAAAAAAACTGATGATTACAATTTGCCCTCACTCTGCACTTATTACAAAAAATATTCTGTCATGAAATACAGTTTACCTGATTCTTTACAGGCCAAAATCCACTGTTAATCACAAACCATTCCAAATAACAAAGTATTGAGCTTGGAGCCCAGATTTCAGGGTTCCAATTGATCCCCTTTTAAGCTGTCTTGTTTTAGTCAACTCTGGACACTGAAATTTGCATTTCTGAAATTCTATTCCCCTAGAACCAGATTCCCGAAGCGTCCACCTCGCAGATGAAAGACATGCCAAGGAGTAACACGGTGTCTCTGGCAAGCCCTGACTTTGAATTAAAAGACTATTAAATATGAAGCGCAAAGCAATGAGGAATCATGTCGCCTGAGAAGCCAAACACTTCCAGACACAGAACCATATTTACATGTGCGATTAAAACCCTTTGATCCACTAAACACCGGCATTCTAGATAATTTGCAATTCATAAAATCAAAATTAGTCTTTAAAGGTTCATCATTTAAAAAGAAAAGTTATAATGGAAAGAAAGCATGGATGTGAGCACAAAGAAAGATCCCATGGTCTCAGCTGAGTGTGCGCTTAGACTCCGAGCCATCAGCAAAGAATTCGAGGCGGTCATGGCTTTTCAGGTCATTAAATGCCCTTCCCATCAGTTGGTCCTGAAAAGGTTCTGGGATGTATCTCATGAGACCTTAGTTTTGAAGCTGAATTTAAATAACAAAGAAGAGATGGCTAATAGCAATTATACCAAGAACAAAAGCTAGAAACATAAAACTCAAAGTCACCAAGATAGGATGTCTTGGTCACCAGGTTTCTCAGCACAGAGCCAAACGTTTAGCCACCGAAAGTCAAAAAAAAACCAACTCAGATGACAGCCAGAAGCACTGCCCCCTCTCTTGGAGTTCTTTCCACAAATCACTGTCTCCCAGGACCCTGCCACTCTCAGATCCCAGCCAGATTTCTCGCACTGTTTTTCCTCTTCCCACAGCTTCTCATGGTCAGACGCCAGCCTTTCTGGACCGGGAGAGGGTCCGCTCTCATGCAGAAAAGCTGCATGAGGGTTTCACCTCCGGCACCTACAAAGCCCTGAACTTCTCTGGGCTGGTGATTTCAGGGAAGGGCAAAGCAAACCAGTCAGCACATTCTGTCTGCAGCATGGCTACCCGATTTAGAGGGAAGGGTATTGGGAGAGAATCAGTCCTGGCTTAACAAGAACTTAGAAGTTTGTAGAAGGCCTTATACTGCTTAAAATGATGGCTCTCAAAATATGAAGAAGAGTAACATTCCTACTGCAGTAAAGACAGCACAAGGAGACCATAAACGCTAACGACCCACACATTTGGTAACAGGTCCCAGGAAAAGCAGTTTATGACAAAGTTAAGAGAAGGCAAACATCAGCAACAATGACTGACCGTAAAGATGAAAGCCCACACGTGGTTTAACAGAGACCACCAAGACAAGGAAGAGGGTTTTAAAGAAAAGCCAACTACCCGAGTATGAAGCTAAGGAGGCAAAGAAATATTTTCAGAAGCATCTAGACCAGCGGTGGCAAACCTACGGTACACGTGCCCCAGCGGAGAGTCTGTGTCAGCAAAAGCTCTAAAAGGTCCCATCACATAATATGATATAAAATTATGATAAAATAGGGCTGGGGTATAGCTCAGTGATAGCCCACTTGCTTAGCACAAGCCAGGCCCTGGGCTCAATTCTCAGTACAGAGGAAAAAATTCTGTGAAACGTACAGAACATCGTCACCTCTCAGTGCACAGTTAAGGGTCCTTTGTTAAGTACACTCACTTTGCTGTGCAATTTGCGCATCTCCAGGATGCTTTCCATGTGGCAAAGCAAATTATCCGTCACACAACCGACCCCTGCCCACCCCTGCAGCCCTGGCAAATGCCTCTCTGCTGTCTCTGTGAGCCTGGGGATTTCAGGAGCCTCATATAAGTGGAATCGTTCAGTCTTTTTTCTTTTAAAGAGGCACTTTTAAACCAGAGAAATTCCCAGCAGAGACTAAGGCAAGTACACTTCAGCTCTGTGGAATAAATAATACCACAAAGCAGAATGAACTGCTCCCAGCTTTCAGGATCCGTACAGGACCCCCGCCGAGACACAAGCTCTTCTGAGCAGATACAGAGTTTTCTGCTAAGGGTCTTCTCCACAGAAACAGAAGCCCCTAAGCCAAGAGGAAGCGGGAGAAACTTCAGATCTGAACTGACTACTGAAACCACAGGGGTTGCTGAAGTCAGATCTAGATCCTCTTACCTGGTTGGCTTAAAATAAAGACAGGAGAGACCAATGCCACCTCTTCATGCCCTAGAATGCCCGCTAAGGAAGGAGGGTACTGCTGTTATATCGAAGTAGGATTCAGCCAGAGAGAAAGCGCACCTTGAAGCCTCAGAAATTACCATCAAATTCTGATCCATTGCTGACTTCCGAGACTTGGCCTGTCCTTCCTGACACTGACCTCCTAAGTGGACGCGTCTGTCTGCTCTGTAGTCCTCCTGTGGAAAACTCATCTGTGCAAGTTTTCTTATTAACAGTGCAGACTGTTTGATCTCCAAATGCAAACAAACCCATCGCCTCACAGCCCAAAAATGTGACAGCCTCAAAAAACAGGCCAAGAGAAACAACCGGAGAGGGGGATGCTTAGTGAAGTCTGAAACTGACGCTGATGTTAATGCTCACTTCGACTCTGACAAAGGCACGGACCTGGAGTTACACACTGAGAAAGTTGCTTTCCCATCCCATCCAGGGCATTAATTACGCCTGGCAATCCTGGGATGTTTCCTCCCATTGAGAAATCACGAAGCGAATTTAATGGAATTATATGTTCAGAAAAGAATTACCAGCCATCAGAACCTCTGGAAGGTTCCAATTCTGATTTTTTTTTCCTTTGTTCCACCTTTTTTTTTTTTTCTTGATGGAGTGACTGCCCCTGAGCTCTGACCTAGCTTCAGAAAAACAGCCAGTGGAGTGGGTTCATGACAAAGAAATTATCCAATTACAGATTAGCAAGGCTATAAAAGGGATTAGGAAGTGACAGAAAGGAGGAACACCCTGTGAGCCAGCAGCTGTATAAGGGCAGCGCAGAGCTGGCTCCCCTGTTCTCTTCCACTCACCCCACGGGCTTCGCATCTGCAGGACCAGCATGTCTTGCTCGGCAGGCATCTCTTCCTCCAGGGCCAGCGGCAGCAAGCAGTCAGCTGTCCGGGGCAGCTCAGCCTGGGGCTTCCAGGGAAGGGGCTCTAGCTGTGGCTTTGGAGGTGGCCTCAGAGGAGGCTCAGTAGGGGGCAGGTGGGGAGCAGGCTCAGGCTCTGGGGCTGGCTTTGGGAAGGGTTCCTGCTTTGGTGGGGGCTCTGGCTTCACTGGAGTTTCTGGGTTCAGTGTCGGGACTGGTGGAGGTCTCTGCAGCTACGGAGGTGGAATGGGAGGTGGCTTTGGCAGTGGCATGGGTGATGGGGGGCTTCTCTCTGGCAATGAAAAGCTGACCATGCAGAACCTCAATGACCGCCTGGCCAGTTACCTGGACAAGGTCCGGGCCCTGGAGGAAGCCAACACAGACCTGGAGAATAAAATCAAGCAGTGGTATGACAAATTTGGTCCTGGGTCTGGAGATGGTGGGTCCAGAAGAGATTACAGCAACTACTGTCGCATCCTGGAAGATCTCAGGAAGCAGGTGAGACCCTGCCCAGGGCTGATCTGTTATTAGAGCGCATGCTTTTCCTCAGCACCCATGCAGGAATGAAACTTTTAAGCCACAGAATTATGTGAAAATACAGCTGCTTGTCATAAATGCGAAGTGGGTGATCCTTTATACGCCTTCCTGCTGCAGTAAAGTCCTGTTCGTGTCTCAGATCTGAGTATTCCACAAAAGAGTAGTAAGAATGGCAGCAATGAGTCTACATCAGGTTAATCTATCTTCTGGTGCATTCTGACAGGTGGGCGTAGTTTAGTATCTTGCTAGATTTAAGTCATCTTTAGGACTTTCTTTCTTCCTAGAAAATTTGGTGTAAATATTGTATAAGAAGATAGAACCTAAAATGCTTAGCCATCGTTGTATGGGAAATATATTTTAAGACACTTTCTAGAAGTGCAAATCAATGTTTGCACTATTTCACAGTGACTGACCCAAGAGCCGTCCACCCTCCCTGACAAGCGTGAGCACCCAAGGATGAAAGTCACCTGTCTCCCCTTCACTGTTACCCTCTTTTCTAGATCGCGGCTGCCGCAGTGGAAAACGCTAGGATTATTTTGCAAATTGACAATGCCAGGCTGGCTGCTGATGACTTCAGGCTGAAGTAAGACACGTGAAGAAAAGTGGTGTTCTAAGTTCTACCCGTCTGCTTAAAAAAGAAAAATTCCTGAACACCCCAAGGGGACCGCAGACCCCTTAATTCTACAAAATGAAAAGGAGGCAAATTTGGAAGAGAATTTTATTGTTATAAAAGTAGCAGTTAATTTTGTTATAAAATTAATATTGGATTCCTAGTTTACAGAGTGGGGGTGTGTTCATTTATCACAACCCTTGGAGGGGAAGCCTCACCCCACGTATAAGAAAGACAGGATGGTGACCCGTGTCCAGGGGTCACCGAGGTGTCCTGTCCACCCTCGACCCCGCCAGGTACGAGACTGAGCTGGCCCTTCACCAGGGCGTGGAGGCTGACATCAATGGGCTGCGCAGGGTGCTGGACGAGCTGACCATGACCCGCTCAGACCTAGAGGCACAGATCGAGGGCCTGCAGGAGGAACTGATCTGCCTGAGGAAAGACCACGAGCAGGTGAGGGCCAGCACCCCGCAAACCACGGACCCTGGCTTTCCCTGTCCTTTCCATCCAAATCCACCCCGTGTTCCCTCCATGCATTTCCCGCATGCAATGACCAGAGCATAAAAACTCCAGCGTGCTCCGCCTGCCTGCAGTCTGCGGGTCTGCGCAGCCTCCCAGGCTCAGTTTGATTGCTTTTCCAGTTTGCATCCCGGGGGGCTTTTTTATTCCCACTTTGTGCTAGGAAATGAAGAGTGTGCTAGGGAGCTGTGGAGGGGACGTGACCGTGGCGGTGGACGCTGCCCCGGGGACTGACCTGACCAAGCTGCTGAATGAGATGCGGGCGCAGTACGAGCAGCTGGCTGAGCAAAGCCAGCAGGAGGCAGAGGAGCATTTCCTGGAGCAGGTTTGCCGAGCCCAAGCCCATGGCCTCCTAAAACCCTGCTCCCCCCACCCTTCCCTCTTCCCCCACCCTCCATCTGCAGACTGCATTTTCCCCTCTTCAGAGCACGTCACTGCAGACACAGATCTCTACTGATGCCGGGGCAGCCAGTTCTGCCAAAAAGGAGATAGCAGAGCTGAAACGCGCCCTGCAAGGCCTGGAAATCGAGTTCCAGTCCCAGCTGGCCATGGTAGGTACAAAGAGCTTCTCTGAGCCCCGACAGGGAGCTTTGCAAACGCAGGCCTCTCCTGGCCAAGGTGGTCGCTAGCCGCACCGTAAGAGCAGTGTCAGGGAGAAGTGCACTGTGGCCCCAGAAAGCTTAAAGCAGTTGAAAAAGGTACCCTCGGGCTCCCTAAAAGATTTCTGCTTCAGAAGCAATATCAACAAAAGTAAAGACGCAGTGATGATAACAGCAGCAGCTATTACTGGTGCAGGGATGCATCTCCTGCCCCATGAACCCGCGGTGTTTTAAAGCCTGATCTTCCGCATGCACACAAAAGTTTTTTTTTTTTTTTTTTTCTTCTGCTGTTAGAAAAGCTCCCTGGAAAGGACCCTGGCTGACACAGAAGCTGGCTATGGGGCTCAGCTGTCAGGGATCCAGGCGCAGATCGGGTCCCTGGAGGAGCACCTCTGCCAGGTGCGGGCAGAAACCAAGTGCCAGGACCGGGAGTACGGGCTGCTGCTGGACATCAAGACACGGCTGGAGGCGGAGATCGAGACCTACCGCAGGCTGCTCCACGGAGAGGGCAGGTACGGGTGCTCCCAGACCTGAGACGCGCACCCCAGGAAGTTATTTCCCTAGAGAGAAAAGGAACTCGGAGGCTGGGATGGTGCATAGAAAGTAATAGTCACAGGTGTCTCCATCCGAGGACACCAAAGCCGCATCACGGAGAAGCCCCACGGCGGGTGGGGGGTCCTCCTACCTTTGCAAACTGAAAAGCCAAACATCATTTTTCTTTCCCCAGTGGCTCTGGTTTTGAAAGATCCAGGAACTTGGACCTGAGTCACTCAAGACCTGACCATCCAGAAAGAGGTAGACATTTTTTTAGCATTGTATCTTAAGAGGACAGGCATGCTGGGCTGGTTGTGGTTTCCATACAGTACCGGGAAGGGAGCTGTGGCGTGCGTGTCATGACATTTCTCTTCATCTGTGTGTCTGGGATCATTTCCTTCTGATGTGGTGACCCTGTGGTTTTCAGATTCTGGCAAGACCAGAGTGACTAAGACCATCATAGAAGAGGTGGTGGACGGCAAAGTCATCTCCTCTCAAGTCAGCAGCATCTCAGAGGTGAAAATCAAGTAGGCAGCCTGCAGGTCTGCAAGACCGTCTTCAGGCAGCCAATCACCTCTCTGCATTTCTCCAGGGGAAACCATCAGCTCAGAAACAGACGCCGCTCGGCTCCCGCACATGCTAGCTTTCTTATTAAAGCCTCTGCAAAGCTGAAATGACAACCTTTGCTCTCACTTTGTCTATGCTTCAATAAACTCGCTCTGGCAAAATGACAAATTCATGCTTGATTTTTTTTTATTATAATTTATTATATATTTTTCCATGACTGCTTTTGCTAAACAACCACTGTGTGCCCTTGAGTGACCTACATAAGAATCGATAATCAAATTTTTAAGACAATTAACGTTTTACCAAGGAGTGAAGTTATCAAGATGACATAGCTTCGTTGTTACATTACTAATATTAATTCATTATTAGTATTTTCCCTCATCTTCAGAAATTAAAGAGCGTAGCCATTTTATGTGAGTGTTTTGAACAGTGTCACCTAACAACGGAATGATGTCACAGCTGAGATTAGACTTTCAGAGCCCCTGATGATACAGCCGGCAGCATGGATAAGATCATTTGCATAATCCATTTATAATTAATTAAAATCTCATTTATTCACATCCAGCCCTAAACAGAGTATTTCATCAGATAAGAAAATGTAAGATGCGCTTCTGGCTTTAAGATGCTTACGCTGTAGATAGGAGGGAAGATAAACTATGGAAGATGGCAAGGAATAAAAAGCCTCCGACAGTAATTAATGTTTCAGAGTGTTTGTCAGAAGTGTCACAGGAATCAGACAGGACACGTTCGCAGGACATTTAGGAGACGGGCCAAGCGAAGTCTGGCCAAATAAGGCTAAATCTGAGAGATGGTGCCAGGTTTCCTGAAACCTTGATGTCCCAGTACTTCCTCTGTGCCAGCTTAGCCAGACACTGTCACCTGGCCACGCTGCTGTTTCTTTTCTCCACGTCCCATTACTGAGTCTTTTGCTCCATCAGTGGTCACATCTGCAGAGGCCCTGAAGCCACGTAGCTCCTCCACATTGTGCTTGGAGGTGGCAGCCCCTTGAGGTAGCAGAGGGTGTGGTTCGGGTCTCAGGAAGACCCAGAACTGTGACTAAGCCTTGCTAGAGAAAGACATCCACGCTCAAGGAATTTAATGTTACCAGATCAAGAATCAGAGCTTCAGCTCGACAAGCCAGCCCTTAGGAAAAGAGGTCAGGCACAGCAGAAAAAGCCAAATCTAAAGTCAGAAAAGGAGGAACCTGGGCTAGGTGTGGTGGTGCATGTTTATGATCCCAGCACTCAGGAGGCTGAGGCAGGAGGACAGCTATGGAGTTTGAGGTCAGCCTAGGCTATATAGTGAGTTCGAGGCCAGCCTGAACTGCATAGTGAGACCCTGTCTCAAAAAAAGAAAAGAAAAAAGAACCTATATAGAATTTGTGTGATCTGTACCTTCTAACATAAAACCAACAAAAGTTGTATGAGAATTCCTGGTCCAAACAAAGAATGTGTATGCCCAGCTTCTAGCATGAAGAAGAAGGAAGCATACGGGTGAACCACTGGGCGTGGAACAGTCTTCAATCGCCAACCACAGAACTAAGTTACAGCTACGCATAAAATCACCACTCAAAAACATGCAATATTGTCCTTTGGGGGGGTGGATTTTTGAGACAGGGTCTCTATGCAGTTCAGACTGGGCTTGAGCTCACTTTGTAGCCCAGGCTGGTCTCAAACTTGCAACGATCCTCCTGCCTCAGCCTCCCAAGTGCTGGGATGACAGATGTGTGCCACCATGTCTGGCTCCATGCAATGTCATCTTAAGCAGAACATGTTTCTGGCCAAATCATTACAGTACATAAAAGCCTCAGGGCTTCTCTCCCATTAAGAAATATGAAATTGAGAATATGAAGAACAGTAGATCCAGCCTGGTTAGTTTACTAGAAATAAAAATGTTTGGTGCAGCCTCTAGCCGCCTGGGACCTATGTTTATGGCCATTAGTATTCTCACGTTAAAGCATAGATTCGAGGCTACTCTGAAGATAACCCGGAGGTGACACCCCTCAACCCGATCCCTTTGGCCTGTGTAGCCAGAGGCCACATTTGTAGCCAGAGGTGGCTCACACCCATCATCCCAGCACTCAGGGAGGCTGAGGCAGGAGGGATCCCAAGTTCAAGTCCAGCCTAGACAACTCTGAAACTCCTTGAGACTCTCTATTTCAAAATAAAAAATCAATTGAAAAGAATGTTATACTTGCACTAAGGGATTATTTACGAATACAGAAAAACCCAGCTCACAGATACCAAGAAGCTGAAACCAATGTGTAGTTCAGAGCAAATTCAGTTTTAAATACTGAAACTACTGAGCCATTTAGGATCATGGAATTTATTTAGGGTATTAAATAAAATCACTTTAGAACTACGCAACAAAAATATTTCTTTTGAAACTCCAATCTCCACGTCTCTGGTCAGAGGCTAAATGAGAAGATGTCTCTCTCTTCAGGCTGGACTCGTGTTTGAGAACTGGGAGAGGACCCGGCGTGCCCATGGAGTTTCCCTGTCAGCTTTCCTTCCACAGATGCGTGGGATGTTCTTGGCTTTCTGGCCTCCAAGGACAAAAGACAAGAAGGGTGGGGAAGCAGACGTGGTGTCTGTCTTCACAGATCAGAAACGAGGAAGGTGTGTGACAAACAGCCCAGAGGAAAGAGCTGGAGGATCTGAGGCTCCGAAGAAAGAGGTCCAAACTTGCCCGGTGACTTCATGGAATCTGACGGTGTTTACCCAGCAGGAGACAAGGGGATGAACATAAATCACCCACAGTGCAGCTCAAGGAATATTATCCAGGCAGCTTCCCAGATGCTGGCAATAAAACAAACAAAAAAATCACTTTAAAAAATTGTCAGAGTCCTAGTTTGGGGGATAGAGCAGAGGCAGAAGGATCACAAGTTCAAGCCCAACACGGTCCACTTAGCCACGTAGTGAGACCTCTGTTTCCAAAGAAAGAATTTTAAAAAGGACTGGGGATTTGGCTCAGTGTGAAGGCCCTGGGTTCAAGCCCCAGTACCACAAAACAACAGGAACGGCAACAGCAGAATCATTAGTGGCTGGGCATGGTGGTACACATCTCTGAACCCAGCACTCAGGAGGCTGAGGCAGGAGGATCACCTCGAGCTCCAGGCCAGCCTGGGCTACATTGTGAGATCTTGACTCAAAAAAGAAAAGGAAAGGAAAATCAATGGCTCCCACATGACAGTGGGTGGCAGGAAATATTGACCAACTCCTCTGAACCACAGTTTAGTCTTGTAATGTCAAGGTCTCCAAGAAAGCATAAGTGGAAAGAACAGACTGCTTATTTGAAGATCAGCGCTCGAACGTTGTAGAAAGGTCAGCCTGGCGAAGGTCATGAGAGCTCTGCCCTGCGTGGCCCCTGGGCTCCTGCACAAGAGAATGGAAGCTTTGGCTTTTCAACTCACCTAAGGAGCCCTGTGTGTCGATGCTTACATCTACTTACACAGCAGTCCTGGGGTTCAAGAGTGCCCCCAAAGTCCTGGGTTAGGAGCTTGTCTTCAGGGCCAGGGATGGGAGCTAGCTGCAGTAGAATGTCCTTCCGGTCACTGTAAAGGACTGTCAGATCCCAGGCTCTTTGTGGTTTCAGGTTTTCCAGTGCAGCCTCCTCTCCCACACTGCCCACACCTGCCTCAAGGTGATTCCCACAGGGTGACCCTCTTCAGAGCCCACACTGTACACTATGGACTTCCAGCAGCCACGCCTTTGAGCTTGGTAAACTTCTTTCGTCTATAAAGTTAGCCTGCTTCGGGTATTGAGTTATAGTAACAAAAAACAGATAAATCCAGGCAGTATTCATGCGTTAGAGAGGAGAAACAAACTTACAGCATTCAGTCACCACCTTGACAATCATAGGAAAGAGAAAAGATCGCCAAGAAGGGTTGGAAGGGCCTGTCAGTGGGCACCCTGACAGGGAACAGTGACTGTTCACCCTAAAGTGAACAGTGACTTGCGCATAAATTTTTCAGGGGATTAGTCACTAACTTTAAGAAATTTTCTTTATTCTTCTCAAAACAGGTACAGGAACCACTCAGAGACTATAAAGCAGACTTCCAGTTCAGCCCAGAAACACAGGTTGGCGGTAACAGGGAGCATCAGACCGACATTTCAAAGACAGGTTCTTTCTTCCAATGCCTGTCTCCAAATCTGTCCAAAGTCCTAGGACCAGTTTTAAAGCTGTCACCACTGGAAATAATCAGGGATCACGTGGAGTTGTAATATGGAGTATTCCAAGTCATTAAAAGAACAAGACCTAGCCAGGGAGATAGCACAGTGGCATAAGCACGTGCCAGGCAAGCACAAGGTCCTGAGTTCAAATCCTGGTACCAAAAAATAAAAAAAAGATCAAGGCCACTTGTCTGGGGAGGCTAATAAACACCTGCTGCGATTTTGTGGAAAGGAATTATCTCAGCCCGCCCCTGCTCATAATTTAACAACTGAGAACACTCAGACTCCTTTAAAGCCTGAAGCCCAGTTGTAGGGTTTGTGCACAAGGTGTTTATTGTAGTCATTTCTACATCAGCAAAAGCGCGGACATCAGTAAAGAAATGACTGACCACACTGTGCGTCCTTTAAAAAGAACGGACTTCTGGGAAAATGGCAGAGAGACGAGCAGCAGAGAAAGAACCCGTCTAGGTTTCAGTGTCCAGACCGAGGGATACAGCACCTCGAAGAAAAGGAGGAGGAAGGAGGGGGGTGCCATGGACGCAGGAAGGATCAGAACTGAGACTCGAAGGCCCAGGAGAGAGATCATTCAGGAATTAAGCAAAAATAAGAAACCCAGGGTGGCAGCCCTGCTGGCCCAGGAGAAGCAGCAAGGAAATCGCCTCTGCCTCCTGCACCCCCCCACCCCCCCACCCCCACCCCCACCCCGTGACAACAGTGGTAAAAACCGAGGCAGGGAAGCAACCTGACTTTATGATATTTGATCGACTTTGCAGGCCTGGGGCCAGCGGTCTGGGCAGCTGTTCAGAGGAAAACAATATGCAGTGTAGTGACTGATAGAACTGTGGGGGACCTGCAGCGGCTGAAAAGATAAGAAGTATGAAATATAAATGACCTTTATTTTGAGAATGCGGGGAGAGACACCTCCGATCCCCTGGGGTGCGGCATCTCCCCCCCCCCCAGGAGCACTCCCCCCCCCCAGGGGTCGGGGATCTCTCC